TCCCGTGTCCCGGCGAGTGTCGCTGTCCCGGGCCGTGTCTCGTTCCCCTGTGCCGTTCCCTGGTTCCCCGTCCCGGGGAGTCTCTCTGTCCTGAGGCGTGTCCTTGTCCCGGGGCGTGTCCCTGTCCCGGAGCGTGTCCCGTCCCCGTTCCCGGGGCGTGTCCTTGTCCCGGAGCGTGTCCCGTCCCCTGTCCCAGGAGTTGTCCCCGTCCCCGTCCCCGTGTCCCGTCCCCGTTCCCGGGGCGTGTCCCGGTGCCGTGGGCGGGCCGCTCCGAGGCCGCCATGGCGCTGAGCGGGGCCCTGGTGCTCCGGATTGTTTACGCGTCCTTCGGTGCCCTGAGCGGCCTCTCGGCCTTCTGCGCCTGGAGCATCGTGCCCGCGCTGCGCCAGCCCTACACGGCTGCGGCCGGGGGGCTCTCGGGTACGGCTCCGGGGGGCGACGGGCACCGGGCCGGGGCCCTGAGGGGCTCCCGGGGGCGACGGGCTCCGGGGAAGGGAGGGATCGGAGCCGGGGGCGTGAGGGGAGTGGGACTGAGGGGCTCAGGGGCCGAGGAGCCGCTTGTCAGCCGTGAGGGGGCTGTGAGGGGAATGAGGAGTCCCTTGCTCAGCCATGAGGGCTGTGAGGGGAATGAGGAGCCCCTTGCTCAGCCATGAGGGAGCTGTGAGGGGAGTGAGGAGCCCCTTGCTCAGCCGTGAGGGCTGTGAGGGGAATCAGGAGCTCCTTGCTCAACCGTGAGGGGGCTGTGAGGGGAGTGAGGAGCCCCTTCCTCAGCCATGAGGGCTGTGAGGGGAGTGAGGAGTCCCTTCCTCAGCCATGAGGGCTGTGAGGGGACTGAGGAGCTCCTTGCTCAGCCATGAGGGCTGTGAGGGGAATGAGGAGCTCCTTGCTCAGCCATGAGGGCTGTGAGGGGAATGAGGAGCCCCTTGCTCAGCCATGAGGGCTCTGAGGGGATCAGGAGCCCCTTCCTCAGCCATGAGGGAGCTGTGAGGGGAGTGAGGGGCGTGAGGAGCCTCTTCCCCATGGCTGAGGGGGCTGTGAGGGGATCAGGAGCCCTTTGCTCAGCCGTGAGGGCTGTGAGGGGAATCAGGAGCCCCTTCCTCAGCCATGAGGGGAGTGAGGGGAGTGAGGGGAATGAGGAGCCTCTTGCTCAGCCATGAGGGAGTTGTGAGGGTCATGAGGACTGTGAGGGAATCAGGAGCCCCTTCCTCAGCCATGAAGGCTCTGAGGGGAGTGAGGAGCCTCTTGCTCAGCCATGAGGGAGTTGTGAGGGGAGTGAGGGGCATGAGGAGCCCCTTCCCCATGGCTGAGGGGGCTGTGAGGGGTGAGAGGGGAATGAGGAGCTTCTTCCTCATCCCTGAGGGACTTGTGAGGGCTCTGAGGGGAGTGAGGAGCCCCTTCCTCAGCCATGAGGGAATTGTGGGGGGCATGAGGAGCCCCTTCCTCAGGGCTGAGGGGACATTTGAGGGGGTGTCAGAGCAGGAATTGGGGGTGTCAGAGCTATGGGGGTGTCAGAGCAGAAATTGGGGGTGTCAGAGCAGAAATTGGGGGTGTCAGAGCTATGGGGGTGTCAGGGCAGGAATTGGGGGTGTCAGAGCAGAAATTGGGGGTGTCAGAGCTATGGGGGTGTCAGGGCAGGAATTGGGGGTGTCAGGGCAGGAATTGGGGGTGTCAGGGCAGGAATTGGGGCCAAGGAGCCCCTTCCCTGGCACTGAGGTTTCCAGGGAAGCAAAGAAATCCTCCTGATTTCCCCAAGGTCTGTACCAGACCCTCTGGAA